TACACCTTTCTTAATTTTAAACCATTCAGTGTTCCCATGTTTTGTTTAAACAATTGCCTCTTGGTCCAGGTACAGATTCCTCATGAGCACAATTAAGTGTTCAGGAATACTCATACTTAACAATGTTGTCCATAGCTTGTCATGATCCACACAATTGAAAGCATTTGCTGAAAGCAAAGAAAATCAAAAAGATGTTTACATGTGTCAATAAAGCACAGATAAACATCTTTCTGATGTTCTCTGCTTTCAGCTAAGATCCATCAGATATAAGCAATGATATCCCTTATTCCATGTCCTCTTCTGAATCCTGCTTAAACCTCTGGAAGTGCTATGTCAATGTATGCTTGTAGCCATTTCTGTATTACCTTTAGTAAAACTTTACTCACATGGGATAGCAAAGATATTGTCCAATCATTTCCTCATTCTGCTGGGTCACCTCTCTTTGGAATGGGTACAAATGTGGATCTCTTCCAATTAGTCAGCCAGATAGTTGTCTTCCAAATTTCTTGCCAAAGATGAATCAGTGCCTCCTGTGCCGCCTCACTTTCTTGAAAGATTTCAATTTTTATTCCACCAATTCCTGGTGTCTTGTTCTTTGCCAATTCCTTCAATGCACCTTGGACTTCCTCCTTCTGTATCATTGGCTCTTGATCTTATGCAATTTTTGAAACGGTTGAACATCAACCATTTCCTTTGGGTACAGTGACTCTGTATTCCTTTCTTTTTTTTAAGATTTTATTGTGAAGTATGTGGGTTTACATGGGAGAACATCTGTTTTACATTCATCCTATCATTTTTGTTTCATTGCAATGATTACAATCCCCTCATGCATCATCAAATAACCAAAGGGTACACCCCACAGGCCTTCCCCACGGCCATCAGCACACAGCCCCTTTCCCTCCTTAAGTCCAGTGTCCCCAGCTGTTCCATCTGTCCATGTCATCATCTCTGCTTCCATTTCTGGCATCACTGCTTCTCTACGTAGGGTCACTTACTCCACTCTTCTCACTTAATGGTCCCAGGGACCTCCGCTCCTGGTCTGCAAAATCAATCACTCACCTTCTTTTGTTACAAAACTTCTACCTTTACATATCTGACCCTCACAGTCAGGCCTAACAGCAATTATTCACTATTGTACCATGAGAGTCTTATCCCCATCTCCTTTCATTAGCTCTGTCCCAACAGATTGGAAACCATTCAGTGGAGATTCTACCTCCCGCCCTGTCTGGAACTAGGTTCCCTCTTGAAAACTTGTAAGTCAGTCACTTCTTGCCTTTGTAGCCCCCCACACCCCGTTTTGGGTAGCTAATGTCAAAGTTGCCCATCCCTGTCAACCCTGTGTACTGAGGGTGTGGGAATGATCCTCGCTATAAAGATTTGTTCCCTTTTTTGAGCTACTACATCCATAAGTATAGGTAAAGTTCATCAAATTATAGCAGGTTACTCTTTTTTTTTTTTTTTTTGCCTCTTCTTTCTTCTTCTAGTTGCGTTCTGATCATCCAGCCATTGAAGCCAGGTCAAGTGGGTACTATTTGCAAGTATGGGCATTCTTGTA